GGGGCGGGGGGGGGCGCCCGGGGGGGGGGGGGCGGCCGCGGGGGGCGGCGGCGCTTGGGGGGGGGGGGGGGGGGTTGGTGAGCGCCAACCATGGGTCGGTGACCAGCAGCGGCCAGGGGTGATCATGGACCACGTGCAGACAGCGCTGGTGGTCCTGGCAGCAGGGTGGCAAGCAGTGATCGCCTGCAGGCACCGCCCACAGTGTTGGCACTGCCTTTTTGTAGGGGGTGCACTGCCACGTGCAGGGGGTGCATGTGCACCCGCATGCACCCCCTACACGTCGCCCCTGCATGTTTATGTAGTACCTCATATTAGAGGTACTACACCCAACGCACAGTAGCAAAGGGACATCAATGCAGGTGTAGATGCACCCACTGTGCATTGTTTTAATTAGCAGTATTCTATGTTATGTTTTGCACTTTGCTAAGTGGTAAGAAACAGAAGGACACAGATTTTAAATTCTTCCAAGCTATGGGGGCATTTGGATCCATGTTTTTAGCTGATCTCTTTATAAAGATATAAGGATGTCATGAAATTACGATTCCAGGTCTGCAAGCATGGGTGTTGTTTCGGACCACTGCAGATAGAGGGGTCATCTGTTAAATCCAGATCTAGCTTTTGATTATGACTCTCTTCTATGACCACATAACTTACTTGTTAATAAATACATACTATGACAAATGATAATTTTGTGTCATAATTAATACGAACTTGGAATCAACTCATTTAAAAAGTTGTTGAAACCTTGTTCCTACACACATACTAAAGACAGATCACTGAATCTTCTTTTGTACCATGAAATTTATTTCCTTATGCCATATTAGCATACTACAGTTCTGTAGAGTAGGGAAATGAATGAAGGGATGTGTTTCTTTGAAGAGCAGTGTTCTGTCTTGTAAGTTCAGTATTTCAGTAGATCAAATCATTCAATTATATTAAAAAAACTGCACTGATTGAAAGGACTTTCAAGCAGTTGCTTAGCAGTTCATTCTCCATCTGTTGCAAGAGCACCATAAATCTAGACTGGATGAATTATGTATTATAGAACTTTTCCTACTTAAACAGTGATTTATTGTCCTGAGACCTTGGATCATTAAACTCCCTCCCACTTACTTCTGCATTCATTTGATGCACCAGTTTTTCCATCTCCTGGCTTCCAAAGCTGGTCATTGTATAATGGCGCACACCTCTCACAGTGGTCCCCTGCTGTGTTGTGTCTGCACACACACTTCCCATGGACCTGTCAGGGGAAAGAGAATACATTAAAGCAGATGAATGAATCAATAGGAAGACTGAGCATAGAACAACCTCATAATGAAGGGGGGGGGGGGTTTCTACACAACTCCTCCTCACGGTTACCCAGCACTCTCAAGAAACCCACACAGTCTACAGCCTCTTCATCTCCATGTGCAACCTCTAATGGGTTCTTCTTCTGTCTTCATGTCATTTTGCCAAATTTGGGGTGTCAATAAAACTCTCATTCTCTTTGCTGAGATGGCAGGTTCACTACTAGGTTATCACAAGATTCACAACTATCAGGTGAACAGAAAGTAAAAGAACCCATAAGTGCCAACTGATTAGAGAGTACCTGAGCAGCTTTGCTCAGACACAGAAGTACTCAAAGATATATTCCAAGGAAACGCTTCCTAAAGATGTCATAGGGGGATGGGGGTCTCATCTATGTGATGGTGAGAGAATTATATTGTACCTGTAATGCTGTATTCAGTTCTGAACATCTTGTTATGAGATAAACATTGAGAAATTGGAGAACGTTCAACAAAACCAGGTAGAGGGCTGGCAGGACCAAAGAATGAGGAAAGATTACAAGAAGGAGGTATGTAAACTCAGTAGTGCTACGGTGGAATGTGATAACATCCCATAAAATATTTGATGGAGTGAACATTGGAAGAGAAATTATTTACTGGTGCAAGAGGGTAGAGTTACTGCAAAGTTTTTCCTGTGACTATTCACTTGACTCTTCAGAAAAGTTTATGTCCCTTCCTGAGAATATTTTTGTGCTCACCTTTTGCTGTTACAAACATTTCCAGAAAGAATGGATTTTAAATAATTATGGTAGGGTATTTCTAGAAACACATAGCAACCTTGAAATCCAAGTATTTCATACTTCAGGATATTGAGGGGGATGAGGATGATGATCCACAGGTTTCCATTACAGCAGAGGTATCAAACTCACCTGGCCCCATGGGCCAGACGACTGCTGGTCCATGGGCTGGACTGAACCCACAGACTACCCCCACATTCTGGTGCGCTGTGGCTGCTGCAGGGCTGTGCTGCATGGCCCTGGAGTGGCTACTGTGTGCAACACAGTCCTGGAGCTGCATGCAGAAGGGCTGTGCTGCACATGGCAGCTGCTGCACCACTCAGCAAGCATTGCAGGGGGTCATTCAGCACATCCTGTATGCTGCCTGTGGGTCATTCCAAGAGCCACAGTTAGAATACGGGGGCAGATGATATGGCTGGCCTGTCTGTTTGACACCCCTGCATTACAAGTTGCCGTTTAGTGCATGAGGTTCTGTAGTATCTGAGCATGTGCCAAATCTCTCTTGCCAGCAGACATAAGGGGATATTTTACATAAGGACTTCCAGAATCTTTGCCTACAGGTCTTGCAAAGGAAGGGAATTACTTAGGAAGAATGCATCTCTATCAGGAAGTTGCCCGATATCAAGCCTGGGGGAAGGAAAGCTCACAGGTGACTATCAGAGTAGTGGTTGCAGGTCAGGAGCGTGCACATCACAAGACAGATTCTTAGCAGCCGAGCAGGCAGTGCAAAGAAAACAAGAACTGAAGATTGCCCTCCCTTCACATGCATCGTTGAGTAGGCCAAGCTCTGCAGTTGCTCAGTTGCAACTCAGACCCACTGCATGCGACACATGGGGGAGTTACAATTTTCATTTTGACTGGAGTGTGACTCTAATCTGAGCCTTACTCTCCCCCCTAATGTAAGTAATATTTCTCCATGGACCTTTCTGCAAGTCAGACTTTGTATTTGAATTTCCAGTTCCTCCCACCTCATTATGGGCAACCTGGGATCAGAAGAAGAACGTTATAAATAATAGGTACCTTAACATTTTCCTCCACCCCAACCCCAACTCTCTGCACCAATTTGCTCCCCTCTCCTCAGGTTGCTAATCCTCTCACACTAGATATTTCATGTAGCTAGCAAAGAGGCCAGCTTGCAACTGATGCCACTGCTCCTCTCTGGCCAGCTGGCAGATTTGCTGCTGCACAGAGCGGTTGGCTGCCTCCTCACGGAAGAATGAACACAGACTTCAGGGTATGCATTTCTCTCTCAAAAGTCAGCACCAGGAAACCTCAGAGGGCTGCATTACATAGCATATTATGTGGTGCCTCACTGGACCAGCAGCTATGTATATTCCAAACCTTGCTACCTAATTACAAATAAAAGAGATACAAATACAGAAAGAGTTAATTAAATACTTTGCAGGGGATGAGGTCCTTTTAGTACAGAGAGGGCCAGCCTTTTTGTCTGAAGTGACACAAATTAAGCTCTTCTCCAGCCCAATCTGCTGCTATGCTCTCCGCTCCCTGCCATATCTGTCACCAGGCTTCCTGTTCCCTCCCCAATCTGACACATGCTATACAGAGACTGCCCGTGCCACTGGTGGCAGATGTGGTACAGGTTGGCCAACCCTGTTTTAGTATTCAGGGTTTGCCCTACAGGTGGTGAGGTTCTCCTCTCCAGGCACAGGCATCAACCTAAGCGCAATCTGTACTTCATAGAGACTGCACAGTAGTGGGGAAGTACTGAGAAGAAAAAAGGAGGAGGAAAAAGGTTTGTTCTTATTAATTGATTGTAAACAGATCCAAACTGTTCCCAAAACAGCACACTGGCCTTCCCCAGTTTTTCCAGCTTTTCTGAACCCAAATCCTAGAACTAGTGCCTCCTGGAGTTTGGCAAAATACTACTGGATCTAGATGCAAACCATGTATATTGGGTCCATGTCCTTTTTGAACAGGTGTAAGATGTTTGAAGACACCATGTTTATGATGTGTAGAAAATGACCTTAAAAGACTATTCATTTGTCTAGGTCTAGGGCACGGAAGTTAGAAACTGCTAGAATTAAGCTGGTCCAGGCAACGTTACTTTGGCTTCATAGTGGGTATGCATTATAGATTCATAGATTAATAGATGCCAGGGTCGGAAGGGACCTCAATAGATCATTGAGTCCGACCCCCTGCAGAGGCAGGAAAGTGTGCTGGGTTCAGATGACCCCAGCCAGATGCCTATTTAACCTCCTCTTGAAGACCCCCAGGGTAAAGGAGAGCACCACTTCCCTTGGGAGCCCATTCCAGATATTGGCCACTCTAACTGTGAAGAAGTTCTTCCTAATGTCCAGTCTAAAAAGCCGCGGTCCATTATATTATGGACTTCAGTTAAATACTCACATACTATGTTTTTCCTGCCTCATTCAATACATAGGATGGATGATACTCACTAAGTACATCTACACAGGACACTTCACTGCACATTACTAATGTTCAGTAAAGTATCACCGTCTACATGTGCACATACAATTACTGCACAGTATATTAGTCTAGTGTGCCATTTTCTAGTACTTGTAGATACAGGTACTAGAATAACACTGCATTAACAAATATGCTGTATTGCACATGTAGACGCTGATTGGGAGCAATTTGCTCCCAGTCAGCCTAGGCAGCAGGGGGCCACAGGGGGTGGTGAGAGCTGCCCTGGCTTGGTGGGATGCTGCTTCCCTACCCTGTGCAGATTGGGTCTCTATCTCCATGGGGCAGGGAGGCAGCTACCTGCTCAGCTGAGACAGTTCCACTTCCCCTGCTCCCCCATTTGGGGCCAACCTGATCTGCCCCCATCTGGGACGCAGCTACCCACTGAGCTGGGACAGCTCCTCCCACCCTCCAGAGCTCGGGGCTAAGCCCTGCACCCAAGGGGAGCCTGGAGCTCCCCCAGCGGCTGCAGGGGGTAGAGCAGAGCAGGAGCAGCCCTGGACTGGGAATTTTCTGTGCACAAAATCAGGCACATTAATTGCACATGTAGAAGCATCCACTGTTAGTCCAATAGAGAGGAGTAAGGAGAGGATTCTGCATGGGATTTGTCTTTGGTGTGGAGCAAGCAAGTCCTTGTTCAGGAAAGGGGGAGGTAAGTTCATTTATTTGGTTACCTGTTTCTTGATATTAGGCTTGGTTGTAATTGCTAGTGTTTGGGTTCTGTAATTTTACTGCCATTTGTTGTTTTTAGACTGCTTGGTGGTTGTGTTGTAAGTTGGATAGAGGTGGGCATGAGAGAGGGTTCCTGTCATGGATCATGGCTAATGAGCCATTATAACTGCTAAGCCTAAACACAGGGGCAGGAGTGACCTAGCCAAAAGGCTTAGAAAAGAGAGCAGCCAGTGACCAGCAGAGCCAGTGAACAGAAAACAATTTGCATAAAATTTTTTACAGGGTATCTGGAGAGCAAGGGCATTTTCCATTTTTTCTTTAAGGGTAGAGACCATGAAGAGAAGACATTGATGGAACAGCAGTGCAGGAGATGCTAAGCATGGAGGAAGCACTGAAGATGGCTCAAGGCTGAAGTTTCAGAATATACCTTATTCTTGACTGGGAACCTGTGGGATGTTATCAAGGCAGTTCGTGGACTTACGACACAATTGGTTCCTGAAAACGGCGTCTTAAGTTGAAACATAACTCAGAACTAATTTTCCCATAGGAAACAATGTTATAAATGGGGGATTGGTTCCTGAACCAAGGCCCGATATCCTGTTTTCACCAAAAATAACCCAAAATTTTGTACTCAATCAATTATAGATGAGTAGTATAGCTACATTAATGTATTTCTATTGTAAATAGCAATCATATTGATTTGGAAGGACTTCTTTGAGGTGACTTTGCTAGATGTTTTGAAGGGCTCTTGGTTGGACTTTTTGAAGGGTTCTTGGCTGGACTCTTCTCAGGAGTCTTGGCTGCAGGTTTTTCTGGAGTCTCATCTGCTTTCTTAAAGAAAGTGTCCAAGGAAGTTTGGACAGATGTTCTCCAGGGAGATGGGTGACATGGCGAATTGTTCACCATCATGGCGTCACATCAGATCAAGTGTTGTAAAGTTGAAACTGAAGTCAGAAAGTCAAAACGGGGTGTCAATTTAGAAACGCTGTAAGTGCGAGACGTAACTCAAAGTGTTGTAAGTCAAGAGCTGCCTGTATATGCAAGAAGTGTCATGTGAAGAT